CACACTTGGAGCTGGCGTACTCGGTGAGCGCCTTGGTGCCCTCGGACACGCCGTGCTTGGCCAGCGGGCCGGGCAGCAGCAAGCCCTCGGCGGTCTGGATCTCGCGCGATGTGACGGTGGAGCCCTTGTTGTAGTGCGCCGGGCAAGGACGCCTCCGACGCGATGCGCTCAGAGATGTCGTTGAGGAAAGAGTTCAAGATGCCCACGGCCTGGGACGAGATGCCGGTGTCGGGCGGACCCACACGGAGCAGCTCTCCCTGCGGCTGCGCTTGCGCTTCTTGCGGTCCTTCTTCTGCACTTTGGTGACCTTGGGAGGCGGGGCGGACTTTGCAGGCTCGGGCACGGCCCGACGCACTGGCGACACAGCCCCCCAAGGACGCAAGCACCGCCGCGCCGCGGGACCGGGTTCCACCGGAAGCCACGATGCACTTGCACTTAGGGAGCCTTGAGCGCACATGAAAGCTCCCAAGACGCTGCGTTGTGCTTCGCGAGTTTTCCGCGGCGCCCAACGCCAGGGAGACGAGATTATGTAAATGAGTGGATTCTGGCGGAGCTGTCCTATTGGCCATTTGCGCAAACTGTGCTTGAGCCAATCAAAGTGCTCCATGGACAATCGCCGTTCTGTGTATAAAAGGGTGAGGCGGCGGCACATTCGGCGACTTTCCCGGTCGCTAGACAAGAGGTTTTTCTCAGTGAGTACCGTCGGCTGCTGTCGCTGTCATGTCTGGTCGTGGCAAGCAAGGAGGCAAGGCCCGCGCCAAGGCTAAGTCGCGCTCGTCCCGCGCCGGCCTGCAGTTCCCGGTGGGGCGAGTGCACCGCCTGCTCCGCAAGGGCAACTACGCAGAGCGGGTGGGGGCCGGCGCGCCCGTCTACATGGCGGCGGTCCTCGAGTACCTGACCGCCGAGATCCTGGAGCTGGCGGGCAACGCGGCTCGGGACAACAAGAAGACGCGCATCATCCCCCGTCACCTCCAGCTGGCCATCCGCAACGACGAGGAACTGAACAAGCTGCTGGGCAAAGTCACCATCGCCCAGGGCGGCGTGTTGCCCAACATCCAGGCCGTGCTGCTGCCTAAGAAGACGGAGAGTCACCACAAGGCAAAGGGCAAGTGAGGCTGGCGTCCGGAAGCGCAGCCCGGCCCGCGTCTCGAAGGGGCATCTGTGAACTCAAAAGGCTCTTTTCAGAGCCACCCACGTTTTCAAATAAAAGAGTTGTTAACGACGGCTAGGTACTCGATGGAGCCTTTCTCAGTAGCAAACGGCCAACCTGGGGGTGAGCGTGCGGGGGTCTCGGGTGTGCCGTGTTGCATCTCGTCCCCCCGTCCTGGGGCTTCCCGGCGCAGGTGGAGGCACCAAACGTCCCGGGCGCCGCGGTCCACTACAGTAACAAATACCAGCGCCTGGGGCGCTACCCACCGCGCTTAAGTTGTGTGCAAAGCGCGCGCTTCCCCGTTCTCCGCGGAGCCACGGCCGGGCACTTAGACATCCTCAAGCATTAGCGGGACGTGCTCCTCGCCCCCACCCCCATGCGGAGGGCCCTGAGTGGCTAGCGCTCGCCATCGTGGCCGAGCTGGGTCTTGGCTTTACTGAGCTGACCTAGTCTTGGTTTCCATTTTTGGTTTCCAAGCGGAGAGTACCGGCCTCGGAGGCGGAATCCTGCGCCCTGGGGACGGACACCTCTCCCACCCAAAAGGCACCCGACAGTCGAAAAGTCATCCGCCGAGTAGTGACTTGGGGCGGGGGGTGGAAACGGAAGAAGGTTCCCTGCAGGAGCTGCAGGGCGCAGAAAGAAAGGGGGCCATCGCTGGCAGCCAGCGCGTTCTAAAGAAGCGAAGAGCGTAGAGGCAACAATCTAACAAGCTGCAATGGAAAACTTTCACCCCGAAGGCAAGAGGAAGAACGCTTGCGAAACTGTGGGCCAACTGGAAAGTAGAAAGCCAGGCGGGTGGGTGGGATTAAGGAGGACTCCGCCCGAGCCAACCGGTGACGCGAAGGCGGGTGACGTCGCAGCCAATGGACAGCCAGCGCGGGATTTTCAATTATTGCTCCGCCCAATCGCGAAAAGACTGTGCCTATAAAGGCAGCTGCCGCGGGGCTGGGAGCCTGTTTCTCTCCCCGCGGCTGCCTAAGTTTGTGTTTTGGTTCGCTATGGCCCGTACTAAGCAGACTGCCCGTAAGTCGACCGGCGGCAAGGCCCCGAGGAAGCAGCTGGCCACCAAGGCGGCCCGCAAGAGCGCGCCGGCCACGGGCGGGGTGAAGAAGCCGCACCGCTACCGTCCGGGCACCGTGGCCCTGCGCGAGATCAGGCGCTACCAAAAGTCCACGGAGCTGCTGATCCGCAAGCTGCCGTTCCAGCGGCTGGTGCGCGAGATCGCGCAGGACTTTAAGACGGACCTGCGCTTCCAGAGCTCGGCCGTGATGGCGCTGCAGGAGGCCAGCGAGGCCTACCTGGTGGGGCTGTTCGAAGACACGAACCTGTGCGCCATCCACGCCAAGCGCGTGACCATCATGCCCAAGGACATCCAGCTGGCCCGCCGCATCCGCGGGGAGCGGGCTTAAGTGCGCGCTCGGGTCGGAGGTTCCATCATATCCAAAAGGCTCTTTTCAGAGCCACCCACAGCAGCACTTGGAAGAGGCTGTACCGCTTGCCCTCGGTGCTCCTCCAGCATTAAGGCCGGGGAGAGCATTTCCAGCTAGGTTGCCAAAAAGGACGCAGGGTCGATGTCAAGTTGGGTGCCCTGGCTGCAGTGCCATTTTGAGCTTTGCCAATCAACTTAGGTCAGTTATCTTGGCAGGGCAACTTAGGTCAGTTATCTTGGCAGGGCGGCGACCGCTTTCCTTGGCGCCACCGGCCCACGCCGTTTCGCTCCTGGGCGTCGGCTTCTGGCTTTGGCGGCCCGGCTCTTCCCGCGCTTGACAGGGACCCAGCGTTGTATGGGTAGCGGCGAAAGGAGAGGGGCTTCGGGCCCGCGTCCAGGGGACACTCGGGGACAGCGCCTGGCCTTTGCGGAGGTGGAGTGCTACATGACCGGCTTCGCGCCCAAACCCACCTCGCCCAGTGGGCGCTGCCGGCTGGCTACGGAGGGAATTCGCCACCTCGGCCTCGCTGGGGTTCTGGGGGCAAACGTGCAGAGAACTGTGCTGGGGTGCCAGTCGGGTGTCGGTGAGGCCCGCACCATCTCCACCAGTACAGTGGTGACCCCAATATCCTGCCCGTAAGCCAGAATTTCCGGGGGAACGGGGTGCAGGCGGGCTTTTGTCAATCTGAGTTTAACCTTCTGAAGAGATCCTGTCCTGATCTCTACAGTCTGTGTGTGAGAGAGTGAGTGAAATGGTCTCACTAATCAATCTGGAGTGTAGTAACACAATCAAAGCTCACTGCAGTTTTGGACTCGGCTCAGCGATTCTCCCACCTCAGCCATCTGAGTAGCTGGGACTACAGGCATACATTACGGTGACTGGGTTAGTTTTAAAATTTTTTTTGTAGAGACAAGGTCTCACTTCATTGCCCAGGCTGGTCTTGAAGTCCTGGGCTCAAGCCATCCCGCCTTGGCCTCCCAAAATGCTGGGATTATAAACGTGAGCCACCGTGCCTGGCTACACCAATGTTTCTGCCTGGCAGATGGGTCCCTCTGGATGGATACTAGGCACTTCAAACCCAGCTTATTTCCAGAACCTCATGCATCATCTCACTTTCCAAACCGATTTGTTTCTTTCCACATTCTTCATCTTCGTGGAACACACCTTCATTACCTCCATCTCTACTGGTCAGGTGTCCTTTCCTCTCGTCCTCTGTCCAAATCCCGTGAGTTCCAAATGTTACTAAATCTACCTTCTGACTTTCAATTATATCGCCTTTTCTCCATCCTCCCATGACCATACCTCAATGGAAGCCCTCACCAGCTCTGATCTAGTAGGTTAGATAGTCAGGCTGGTCTTTCTGTCCTGCCACTGAGCTTCCACTCTATGAGAGCTATCTTTAAAAAAATGAGGGTTTTGTTTTTGTTTGCTTTTTGTTGTTTTGAGCCTCTCACTTTCATGCTTAAAATTTTTCTACGACCTTCCCATTCCCTTCAGGATGAAGTTAACATTCCTTTGCATGGCAATTCCGTCTGTAAAATGGGGTAGCAGTAACTTGCTCATAGTTTTGTTGGAAATAGTAAAAGTGACAATTTCTGTAAAGTACCTAGCACAAGCCATGTGCAGTGGCTCATGCCTATAATCCCGGTGACTCAGGAGGCTGAGGCAAGAGGACTGCTAGAGGCCAGGAGTTTGAGGCTATGGTGAGCTGTGACCCTGTTAACACACTTCAGCCTCAGTGACAGCAGAGAGACCCCATGTCTTAGGGGAAAAAAAAAAAAAAAAAGACCTTGCACAGAATTTGGTCCAGAATAAGCACCCCATTAATTTTTGCTACTCTATTAGCAGTTACTAATTTAGAAAAACTCAAAGTATCACACATCTAGTTCCTCATGTTTCCCAAAGCCTTCTCAGGTTTCAGATGTTTTTGCAGCTGAACAAGAATGTTCTAGCCCCACACGGCATCTGCAATCTCCAAGCATACAATATCTTCACACATTCTGTTTCTGTCCAGAATGTCTTCCCCTTCTCTGTGACCCTAAAAACCCCCATTCTTCAAGAGTCAGCCCTGTGAGCTTCCCTTGCTCTTCTTTGCCCTCATCTCTTTGGGCCCGCCTTGCTTCTGCCCTCTCATATCCTAATACCCCTTCCCTTCCTTACCTGGTCACCTTAAGTACACTGAAACCGGGTCTCAAAAGAAAAAAAAAAACACACGAAAACTACATTGAGTGGGAAACGGGATAAATACATCACCTTTGGTTTCTATATCACTTCATGGCCCCATTTTTTTTTCACATAGAACTTTTCATTTGATCCCTAAAATGATCCTGTGACAAAGGCAGGAATGTTCAGTAATTGGCCAGGTACAGTGGCTCATGCCTGTAATCCCATCACTTTGGGAGGCCGAGGCAGGCTGATCACATGAGGTCAGGAGTGCGAGACAAGCCTAGCCAATGTAGTGAAACCTGGTCTCTACTAAAAATATACAAACTAGCTGGGCTCTGCTAGCTAGGTGGTGGTCACCTGTAATTCCAGCTACTTGGGAGGCTGAGGCAGGAGAATCACTTGAACCCAGGAGGCAGAAGTTGCAGTCAGCTGAGATGGCACCATTATACTCCAGCCTGGGTGACAACAGCAAGATTCCATCTTGAAAAAATAAAATTCTCAGTAACACTAAAGATGTGAAAATTTAACTTTGACAAAGGTAGGATTTCTCATGGTTTGTATACTTCAGATTACCTACCTACCTAACTTCTGATCATTTGGGGAAAATTATATTCACGCTTATTTTAAGAAAAGCAAATTATTAGAAACGTTCAATGAAGATAAACACTTATAAATAATTCTTAAATTTTTGCGAGCATTTTCCCTGACAATTATCTATATATTTATATGTATTTATGTGTACTGGTAACATTCTGCATAAATTTCAGTTCACTTCCTTTGGCTCTAGCAAGGAACTAACATGTACATCACTGGCTAGAGTATGAAGTACAGAGTAAGAGGTTACAACGAGAATAAGAATGTAGTCAAAGATGAGCTAGTCAGAGAGGTAAGGAGCGGGTAAAGGGAAGAAGGACTTCAAATCGGTCCATGGTGAAGTCTGATGAGCCAGTGGGACATGCAAGTACCTCTGTGACCGTGGTAATGGGAGTAGACCCACAGACTGGACTTTATAATCATTTGTATATATCTGAGTGGAAGTCCTGAATCCATCTAGGGAGGGAAGGAGGTGGCAGCCAGGAGGTGGCAGCCAGAAGCTGGCTCATGGAGAGCACCTGGGCTACCGAAGGATTGAAATGGGAAGGAAAGTATTTTGGGAGCAAATCAGAGAGAAATTATATGCCTTGCTGTTATCAATGGCTACAGATAGCATTATATCCTTCACTGTTACAGATGGTTCAAAAAAAGGGGCTTTTATTAATGTAAAACCATACATAGCTGCGTTTCTGTGACTTGGCAATGTTCAGGGGCTGACAGCTGATAGAGGATTTAGCCATGTCTATACCATAATAGTATGTGGTGGACTTGGCATGGTGGGAGCAAGGGCGAGTACTAACATCACTATAAAGAGGATGTATACAATGACGTGCAATGGTAAAGGACAAGACATTGGAGAAATCTTGGAAGAAAAAAGAAAACACATCCATTAATTACGAACTTAAGTACTATTAGAAGTACAAACTGATATTTAGTAAAACAAGCTGGCTATGTTTTTCATTCATTCATCTTTTCTGTTCGCCCCAAATTCTTTGAAGAAACAAAGGCTGTTTTACCTTTTTCCATCTATGTTTTTTTGCTACAAGAAATGTATCAGGATCAAATGTATGGTTTCTTTTCCGTCAAACAAAGCAAATTTTAACATTTGGGAAACATCTGGGCCACATATGTTGATTCTAAATCCTTTTTCATTAAAACAAAAACTGTTTAAAAGAGAGAAAAGAGGCCAGGTGCAGTGATCCCAGCACTTTGGGAGGCTAAGGCAGATAGATCACCTGAGGTCAGGAGTTTGAGACAGCCTGACCAACATGACAAAACCTCGGCTCTACTAAACCTACAAAAATGAGCCCAGCATAGTGGTGGCACCTGTAATCCCAGCTACTTGGGAGGGTGAGGCTGGAAAATCGCTTGAACCCAGGAGGTGGAGGTTGCAGTGAGCCAAGATTCCACCACTGCACTCCAGCCTGGGTGACAGAGTGAGACTCCATCTCAAAACAAAAGAAAAAAAAAAAAAAAAAAAAAGAAGAGCTGTTATCTACATCAGTGGTTTTCAAACTTTAATGTGTATCAGAATCACCTGGAGGGCTTTTTTAAAGTACCAGTTACACGGTCTCATCCCTCAGTGTCTCATTCAGTGGGGTCCAAGATTTTTTATCCCAGGTGATCAATACTGCTAGATGAGAGGCTACACTTTGAGAACATTGGATGTGTTTTCCATTGTTGGATGGATGAGAGGCTACACTAATTCAAATAATGGATGGATGTTTTCCATCCAACTCCTTTTTTCTTTGATTTCCCTTCAAATTTTATCTCCTTCTTTAGTGGATCTTGGTGAGGATCAGAATGTATTCATCAGCATTGCCTTTAACTTTAAAAATATCAGCGATATTTAAAATAGCAATGCTGGAAAGCACAGGTCAGATTTTAAAGGGAAAAAGGAAACATCAGGAGCATTAAAACCTCTATTTCTCACCTGGACAGCTTCACAAATGTTATTCTTGCCACTTCCTCCCTGCCCCTGTCCCCTTTACTATGTAGCTTATATCTCATAACGGGCCTTTTTGTTGAAAGCAGAAAATGATACTTTTCAGACAATGGGTAGATAACTGGCCAGTAGGATAGCAAGCATTCTGCTCTTTATTCAGAGACCGACACAAACCCCCCCACATCCATGGACAAGTTTTCCCTCGTTTCCCAGCAGCCAGGAACATCTGTAGCATTTCGGCTCCTATAGGATTGTCTAAATTGCTCATCATATTGAACATGTACGGCCTCTTACCCTTGGATTTGCCATTTGTTCTTAAATGCGTACTGGTATGGATTTATGTCACCTACATATTATGCATTTATTTCTCTTCTCCATTCTAATGCTAAGCTCCTGGAGGGCAAGCCTCGCATCTGCTGCTTAGCTGGCAACCGGATTGCCAAGTACCATGTTTTAAGCCTGGTTCATTCTCAATTGTTTGATAGCTGATGAGAGCAGCCACGTCTGAAGACCAATAAAGCAACTACTGGTTTGTCATTTGGGAGCTGACAGAATTTGTTCTCTCAAATACATACACTGACCAATTGCTGTAAAATCATAGGCCTAGAATGCAAAAAATAATAATAATGAATTAAATAAACTTACGGGCAATGCGATGGTTGCAAAGCTATAAATTTAGGGATTAGAAATGTGAACCCACCTTTCAATCCAAATTAGGGCAACCTAGAGGTGGTAGTGCAGAAGTGCAGAGAACAGCTTTCTGTGAGCTAGGCCATGCTGATATAGAGTAATTGTCTTTTGCCTTGTCAAGATTGAATTGTGCTTTCTGTATTTACGGTGGGCACGTTTCTGCAGGTCTCTCAGTCTAAGCTACAGCAGGCCCTAAGAGGTAGAAGTCACATACCTGGATGACCTGTTTCTTGAAGTTGCTTGAAGATCATTTCGTTGAGTCACTTTTATAGAAGGATCACATTAAAATGTCTCTGCATCTATATCCTTGCAATACCACAACTGAGACAGTCATCCCACAGGTCCTTGATTAAGTTAAGGGGACTTTTTATTGAACATAGGAAATACTTTTCAGGCACTGGGCACTAACTTGCTAGAAACATGTTTTTCAACTGTACTAAGATTGATAATTAGATCTGGTTCTGCAAACTCACGCTTTTATTTGAAGTGAGTTGAGTGTGTGTCTTAAGACACCATATAACATGAATGGACCCTTACACTAAGGCACGTAGTCCACCCGCTGGTTAGGTAGAGGGGAAAATGAAGGCCAAAAAGGTTAATTGACGAAACCTGAACGTATCAGGTGAGAGCCAGCATCTCTGTACTGAAGATCTAAGGCAGCTTTCCCCACGTTGCCTGAGCGAATAGTGAGATTACACAGCAAGTCACGTTTAAATTGCCAGTGCAAATTACATTTGTTTCCCCGTAGATGTGCCTACACTGCACAAGAGCGAAACGAAAAAGCAGCGCTGAAACCTAGAGCACATTCAACCCTTCGCATCGAAAACGGGTAAAATAAGCCCAGGCAAGCAAAAGGTCCACGACTGAAGTCCTTTAAGGCTGCGAGTTCTATGGACACCAGCTTTCTGTTAACTTCAGATGCGATTGCCGCCCCACTGGCAAAGTTACGTTCCAACATAGTTACTGTTGTACTTTACTTAGTCAAGTGCTCAGCTCCTCAGATGAGCAAGTGGTCGGCCCTAAAAAGGGCCTTTGGGATGGAAACGTGCAAAGCCGGAGCGGCGGCCTAGCCTCCAAAGCCGTACAGGGTGCGCCCCTGGCGCTTGAGCGCGTATACCACATCCATGGCCGTGACGGTCTTGCGCTTGGCGTGCTCCGTGTAGGTGACTGCGTCCCGAATCACGTTCTCCAGGAACACCTTGAGCACACCGCGGGTCTCCTCGTAAATCAGGCCAGAGATCCGCTTAACGCCGCCACGCCGAGCTAGGCGCCGGATCGCCGGCTTGGTGATGCCTTGGATGTTATCTCTCAAGACCTTGCGATGGCGCTTAGCGCCCCCTTTGCCGAGGCCTTTTCCGCCCTTTCCTCTGCCAGACATGACCGCTACAGCAGGGAAGACAGCTTCTGTCAGGGCGAGGGCCGCCTTCCCCTGATATACAAGACTATCGGACCTGATTGAAAACCGAAAGCGCGCCGGCGGGAAGCGTTCTCAATTGTCCCCGCCCTCTCGACATTTCGTCATTTCTTTGCTGTTTTCCTCTTCTTCCTTCTCAGGTCCCTCTCACTCTCACCCTTTTTTTTTCCCCCTTCATCACTACGCCATAGTCCCCGGGAGAATTCAGACCCCAACCCGCGGCGTCCGGATTCTGCGGTGGCTTTGGCCTGTGTCTGGTCTGGGGACGCCCGGAAGGCATTGCACCGGGGCTAAGGGAAAGGTCTGGAGGGAGCCCCAGGAAGAGCAAACGGAGGCCGGAGACCGGCAGGAGCGCGCCAGCTCACCATTTAATCCCGACGAACGGATTCCCAGCGTTGCTTATTTAAACTTGCAGGAGGCGCCGTTCCGACGATGAGGCGAACACTCGAGAGGCGACCTCAAGAGCAGCGGTGCCGGGGATCTGTGCGCCGGGGGACGGCGGGAGGGGGTGGCTTCGCCGTAATTCCCGGCCCTAGGCTCTGTTTTGTTGGACCGAGCCGCTCTGTTTTCGCTCACCCGGGAGAGATCCGGTCCTGGGAAAACGTCTCTGCACGGTGCCGAGCTTTCTCGTGGAGGTCAGCGAATCCCAACACGCTGTCAGTCAAAGCCGCGGTGAGAGAAGCAAAACGGTTCTCCCTTGGTATCGGAGGGGGATTGATTGGCTCCAGGGCTCTCGCTGACACCAAAGTCTGGGATGCTCAAGTCCCTTGTAGAAAATGGCGTAGGATTCGCATGTAACTGCACAACCTCCCGTGTACTGTGAATAGTCTCTAAATTACCTTATGACACCTAACCCAGTGCAAATGCTATGTAATTGTTATACTGTTTTTGTTTTTACTATCTTTTGTTGTACTGGGTTTTAAAACAATTAGTTTGTTTGGTACTTTAGATCTTGAGGAACCGGCGTCTATGGAGGGCCTGCTGCAAGCATAGGGAAGACCGAGGCATGTTCTGTGCATCCCTTTCTGCAGATCCTCTAAATCGGCCTTTGTTCTCAACCAGGAATTAGTGCCCCACTGTGTCCTTTGGAGGCCCCACATGGAGCCTGCAGTTTGCCAAATTGGGTCTTGCAAGAGGACTATCCGCTCTATACTGAGAGTTATTACCAGAAACTGCGCTATGAAATTGGTTGGGGTTCTTACGGTTAACATGTTTATTACTCTATCAGGGCCCTCTGCAAGGGAGTCTGAGAAAATGTCCTGGTTTCCGCTGAAACAATCGTGTTTTGTTGAGGATTTTTTTCCGAAGAATATTTTTAATAACTTCTGTGCCCTGTTTAATCTCTCCCTTGGCTCCACCTTCTGTATGCTCGTAAGTCTTGAATCTATATTCAGACTTCTAGACTCGAAACACGTAGGCTCACCCGGTGGCTCTTCAGTCATTTTAAGCTCAAAACTCTAAATCTCTCCAAATCAAAATGTTTTAACTTAGAATCTCCAGGGTGTGAGATTTGTTCCTCACTGGCAGTGATTTCCGTATGTCCTTTATTCCCCCTTTTTTTTTTCCCCTACTGTTAGGTAGATCTCAAATTCTAACCACTCCTTTGAGTTACTCATCTCAGAGTGCTCCCATTTATTTATTTATTTATTTATTTAGAATCAGGATCTTACTCTGTCACCCAGGCTGGAGTGCAGTGGTGCAATCTCGGTTTAAACCCCGAGTCTGTGGTATTTTGTTATAGTAGCCCTAGAAACTTACACAGGATTCATGGTCTGCCAAAGTCTCTTTCCCTGCTTAGACCCACGATGGATGGTGGGATCCTTGTGATAGGTACTCTGTGAGTTAGAAGTAGCAATGACTTAGAGCTGTTGAGTACAACACCTTTGCACCCAGTACTTCATCCACTGAATTTTGTTTTCAAAGATATACTCTGAAAATCAGAGGGTGAGCGATTCTCCAGTATCTCAGAGCCCTTAGTGGCTAAGCAGACCACTGAGCATGTAGTTTTCTAGGTCAGGGCCCTCTCCCCAAAGAATCATACTCTCTGGCTGAACTGAACCTAAATCAGGTTTAAAACTAGACGGATGCCAACCAATTTAAAATTCCAAAGATATCTAAGACCTGCCCATGGCCCTGGGATTTGAGGACAACCTGTGCATGTCATGGCTATGGCCATTCAGGAATCTCTAGCTTAGTGGGAATGTCTATGTCCTACCTTTACCCTTCTCACTCGTCCGCCCACATCTACCCCTCCTATGACAATGAAGTGCTCATTCTCCAAATTCAGCACTGTGAAAGAAGGCAGAGAGGAAGGTGCACTGGAGAGTCTAAGACCTGGTCTCTCTTGGCTGGTGTAGGACAGTGGAGGCCCTCACTACTTGGTCTTTTCTGGTTTACTGTCAAAGGTTGAAGCTGGGGCCTTGACCGCCTCCTGTTCTCTGTTCCCAGGCCACTACACAATAGAGGCTCTGGGCTTTGACCCTGGAAAGGTTCCATGGGTCCTCCCCTCAGCCCAACTGAGCCCCCTGCCCTCACATTGGGTGAGGAAAGGATACGCAGTGCGAACAGGTATATAAACACTCGCTGTGAGGAAGTGCAGCCTGTCTGACCCAATTGCTCTCACCCAACCTAAGATCAAGCCATGGCAGGACACTGTTTCCTTACCTATCAGCAACTATCTTGGGGATTTCCCCACAGGGCCAGGGCAACAGAATCTGGTTCTGACTGTGACCACGGACTGGAAGGGCCATAAGGAATTCTCCAGTGCCGATGGGGTTTCCGAAACTGTCACAGAGTTTAGTAACAGCTTTGACACCTTTTGGTAATAGGACAAAGTTAACACTGCTGCCACTATTCTGCAAAGGCCAAACTTCCTAGGCCCCTTAGGAAACTTTTGGTTTGGGAAACTGGGGCAAAGTAGTACACAATTTTTTCATGTCAATATCAAAATGTAATCATTTCAGATGCACAGAGTTCCCCACTTTCAGATTAGTCTTAAAGAAAAGAAAACTGGCTGGGCGCAGTGGCTCATGCCTGTAATTCCAGCACTTTGGGAGGCTGGGCTGGGTGGATCACCTGAGGTCAGGAGTTCGAGACCAGCCTGGCCAACATGGCAAAACTTCATCTCTACTAAAAGTACAAATAATAATAATAATCAGGTGTGGCAGGCACCTGTAATCCCAGCTACTCAGGGGGCTAAGGCAGGAGAATCACTTGAACCCAGGAGGTGGAGGTTACCGTGAGCTGAGATAGCACCATTGCACTCCAGCCTGTGCCACAAAAATGAGACTCCATCTCAAAAAAAAATCAAGTACAGAGCAATGCACATTCTCTTGAAAATTCTCATGATGTCCAGCCTGGTTCCAGGGAAAGCCTGCCCTGAAACTGGTATTATTACTTAGACTTTGGGTCCTTCGATCAGAGTTCATGATGTCCTCAGCTAAGTCAGTGCTAGAAGTGGACAGAAATGAAGTGATGCATGTGAGAAAATTGTAGAATAGCCGGGCGCGGTGACTCACGCCTGTAATCCTAGCACTTTGGGAGGCCGAGGTGGGTGGATCACCTGAGGTCAGGAGTTCGAGACCAGCCTGGCCATCATGGTGAAACCCCATCTTAAAAAAAAAAAAAAAAGAAAGAAAATCGTAGAATGTAGATTTAATAAGATTTGGTGTTTTGAAGCTGGACGCAATGGCTCATGCCTGTAATCCCAGCACTTTGGGAGGCCGAGGCGGGCCGATCACATGAGGTCAGGAGTTCAAGACCAGCCTGATCAAAACAGTGAAAACCCCCCTCTACTAAAAATACAAAAATTAGCTGGGCATGGTGGCGTGTACCTGTAGTCCCAGCTACTCAGGGGGCTGAGGCAGGAGAATTGTTAGAACCAGGGAGGTGGAGGTTGCAGTGAGCCAAGATCACGCCACTGCACTCCAGCCTGGGCAACAGAGCAAGACTTCATCAAGAAAAGAAAAAGATTTGGTGATTTAGGAATTTGGAAAATGCATGCAGTAAAGGAGCTTCTGGCCGGAGGAGCTATGGGGTTGATGTTAGATTTCAGTACCATGGAGAATGCAGAGATAAGAAAATGCTTTTGTTTTTGTTTTTTTGAGACAGATTCTCTCTCTGTTGCCCAGGCTGGAGTGCAGTGGTGCCGATCTCTGCTCACTGCAACCTCTGCCTCCCAGGTTCAAGCAATTCTCCTGCCTCAGCCTCCCAAATAGCTGGGATTACAGGCACCCACCACCACACACAGCTAATTTTTTTTGAGGGGGGGGTTGTTGTTGTTTTTTGTTTTTGAGATGGAGTCTCGCTCTGTCGTCCAGGCTAGAGTACAGTGGCACGATCTCAGCTCACTGCAACCTCCATTTCCTGGGTTCAAGCAATTCTCCTGCCTCAGCCTCCTGAGTAGCTGGGACTACAGGCGGATGCCACCACGCCTGGCTAATTTTTTGTATTTTTAGTATAGATGGGATTTCACTGCGTTAGCCAGGATGGTATCGATCTCCTGACCTCATGATCTGCCCACCTTGGCCTCCCAAAGTACTGGGATTGCAGGTGTGAGCCACCATGCCAGGCCTAATTTTTTTGTATTTTTAGTAGAGATGGGATTTCACCATGTTATTCAGGCTGGTCTCAAACTACTGACCTCAAGTGATTCACACGCCTCAGCGTCCCAAAGTGCTGGGATTACAGGCATGAGCCACCACGTCCAGCTAATTTTTATATTTTTAGTACAGACGAGGTTTCACCATGTTTGGCCAGGGTAGTCTCAATCTCCTGACCTCGTGATTCACCCACCTCAGCCTCGGAGCTGGGATTACAAGTGTCAGCCACAACCCTCAGCCTTAATTTTTAAAATACAGATTAAATGGAGGGAAAATAAGAAATAAAGTAAGATATAAAACACAGTATCACTAACATGCACTTCGAGAAGCAGAAATTCACTAGGACTGAGGAAGTAAAACCCTGTTCTGCTCCACCTGTCCTGTGAGGCTGCACTAACAGAGATAAAGGTAGCCTCAGAAATCACAGGAAACATTCTTTCTCCCGAGGGCATGATGCAGCTGTAAAATCTCTGAGTAGCCACTCCTTTCTTATTCACTGAGAAATCTTGTACTCTAAAAATCACAGACTACTGAACTTGGGCTTCTTGAAACCATATCAGTAAGAAGGAAGCACCCCCCTCCTGCCTGGAGGACCTAAGTCACCTTGACACAAAAAACCAGCAGCAATTTTCAACACAGGTACAAAGCTTCAAATACGGAGTTTCCAAACACAGCATTCCACCTCTCTCTCAACTTTGTAGTTTCCAAGGAAACAAGACCCTGGATCCACTTCGAAGTCCCATCCCATGCCTACCCTTTCACACAGCCCTGTTTTGCTTTGAGCCTGTGAAAACTACACTCTTCCCCCAAAATCAATGATAACTCGAATTTTCCTTTTGTTTGGTGAGCTCCACCCCCACACCATCCTGCCACCAGTTTATCTGTTGTGTGTTCTCTCTCATTGTAACAAGTCAATAAACCTGGCTTAGACTAAGTAGTGGTCTCGGGCTAATTGAGATACTGAGTTTTTACTTTGAATTAATATAATTCATTTCAGCATTCCTGTATTGTCAAAAGCTTTTTGTTTTGTCTTGTTTTGTTTTGTTTTTGAGACAGGGTCTCTGTCGCCCAGGCCAGAGTGCAGTGGTGTGATCGTAACTCACTGCAGCCTCAATCTCCCAGGCTCAAGCAATCCTCCCACCTCAGCCACCCAAGTAGCTCAGACTACAGGCATGGACCACCACCACGCCCAGGTAATTTTTATATTTTTTGTAGAGACAGGGTTTCGTCATGTTGCCAGGCTGGTCTCCAACTCCCAACAAGTTATCTGCCTGCCTCAGGCTCCCAAACTGCTAGGATCACAAGCACGGGCCACTGCATCCCAGCTGTTGGTTATTTCTAATCTTTTACATTACTATAAATGCTGCATCAACATCTTACTTCTTTGATATTAATAGTGTAGTGTAGTAACTAAAGAAAGACCCTGGAGTTGAAATCTGGTTTTGCCACTTACTGACTGTGTGACTACGAGAAAGTTACTCATCTTTCTGTGTTTCCTCCATCTCCCAATCTGTAAATGGAAATTCTTAGACTACCTACTTGATGGGGTTATTGTCAGGATAAAATGAGTTAATACGTGTAAAGTGTTTAAAACATTGTTGGCACCAAGAAAGAGTATGTAAGTGTTACAGAAAATACATATATAGGCTGGGCGTGGTAGCTCACGCCTGTAATCCTAGCACTTTGGGAGGCCGAGGAGGGTGGATTGCCTGAGGTCAGGAGTTCA